AAGAATTATCAATATGTGCCAAACCAATGTGTGCAAAGCATCAAAAAGCAAAGGGGTTATTTTATGTTTGAAGATCAGACGTGACCGTACTTTCTATTAAACCAGCGTGGCAAGACTTGGGAAGTGAACCCTCGCCATGTTAAATCCTTGGAAAGCAAAACATCCCTTTAATGGCAACCTGTCAAGATGCTTTTTCTTTCTTTGTAGTCTGCATACACACATATACAGGTTTGGCCTGAATTTGATAGCCTAAAATAACATACTGAAGGCCCAGATACCTCATATTCCTCAGCCAAAGAAACCATTTGATTAAAAAAAGAATATGAAAACACCAGGTTTGGCTTTGAGGTTTTTCTTTCTCCTTCTCTGAGTTGGAAGGAAGTTGAAACATCAACTTTTTTTTTTTTTTGATTGTCAGCAACTGCAGTCAGGTTTGTATAACTGCATTAAAGTGAGAAAACTTTATTTAAAAACATTCTGAGCCTTTCTTATTTTGAAGAGTGTAGGAGAATGTGTTTTGTGTAATGTGGCCACTGTTGGGACTTTGACTCAGTGTTGACTGTCAGGAAAGGAGCCTATTTAGTGAATCACCAGTTTTGATGCATTGCCTAAATCTAACCTTGTTTATGTTGCAAGAGTAAATGAGATCATAATATGAAGAATGTTTTAAAAACTAACAACTGTATTGCAGTTGTAAGAATCTGCATTCATTGCCTTTGTCTCATGAATAAATTTGAAGGCTTGAATAGATTAACAGGATCAGTAATGAGATGGGAATGCATTATTTTGAATGGATCTGGATTGATTTAGACAGGTTTTGGGTTAATTATGTTTGAGACACTTTGGCTGTGACTAATAAGAAAATTACATGTAATCTAAATGTTAAGACATAGCAACGAAACTATTGTGCTTGAGCACTGAGGCTGCTTCTGCAGTGTCAGTAACCATGCCTGTCCAAAAGAACATGTATGCAGAAAATAAAATACTATGAGGCAACCAGATTGGAGTTGTTGGTCTGTATCATTGGAAGACCCTTGCTATAAACATTTTGTCATGCTCTTGTCTTAACAAATCTCTCTTCAGCTGTTTCACCGGGATGTACCCCGCAAGTATTTCACCATACTTTCTGCAGTGCTTAATCTTAAGTAACAGTCCTTAATCTTAAAGCCACATATTAGCATGTAATAGGGGAAGCAGGAGGGAAGGAGAGGAGGATTTAATTTTCTCTGAACAGATGGATAAGAATAAAACAGGGAACAGAGTAAAGGCTTTGACATAATGTTGTAATAGGCAATTTCAAATATGTCAACAAACTACACTGATACACTGAAGTTAGATGACGGAAATCAGGGTAACACAGACCTGGTGTATGTAATTTCTGTATTTGTTCTTAATCAAATGTATTAAATTTTCAGGCCCATGTCACTGTATTATTTTGGATGTATTTAAATGTTTAATTTGGGTCATAAAATCCAGGTATGGACTATACCTGTAACCAATAAACCGGACTATAAATGAATGAACACATATGTAAATGTTAGGAAGAATATGCTAATAATAATTGTTATTATTATGTATGTGCTTATTAATATGCATGAAAATCTCTTGAGGTAGGTAACTACTATTATTGTAACAGCTGTTCCTATTTTACCGATGGGACAACTAAAGCATAAAGAATTAGTGACTTGCCCACAACTTCAGAGGGACTGAGTATCAAGAATAGAGCCAAAAATAGTGGTCACATGTCCTTCAGCTACTACCTGAGCGCATCTCTATGGCAAAAGCCTATGAATGTCTCAGGCTGATAATCTAGCAAAGTTCAGTATGTTCTTTCTTGCTTGCTGAATGATTGTTATTCTATGTAACAAATTTTATCCCTTGTAAAGTTTACCACAGTATTTAACATACTCTAATCCTTTAAAATAAAGCATGCGTCTTTCCTTTTTTCTATTTGTTGTATTGTGTAGGCACATCTGACTAAGCAATGTTTCTGAAAATTCTTAGCTTCCAAATATACGTGATAAACTGACATTTCTAATCAGAGAAAATAATATATTGAATCAGGATTCAGTATGTATCCAATATAAGATCTCTGCTCACAGAGGGCCTTGTCGTGAAGCAATAAATCTAAGTTTAATGGTATCTTTTGCTGTCTTTACTGCGTACGCCTAACGTGCTCTCTCCCTCTTGGGGCTTCTTCATGTAGTGTATAGCATGTGCTTCCATTGCTACCTACTAGTTTTCTCCATCGGGAGATGTGGTTGTGGCCTGTGCCTCCTCCAATAGAAATGCGTTGGCTGGTCCACTTGCATGAGCAAACTGCTAACCTCCTGTTTCTCTCTTCACAACACATAGAGGAGGTCCTCTTATATTCAGGAGGAGATCCAGATAAGCCAGTATAGCCATTTATTCTGCATAAAGCAGATGTGCCGGATGTTATCGATCAAACTGGAACTGTTTTGGTTTGAAGACATTAGGTATATCCTGTGGATCAGTAAGGCGTATTGTTTCATCCAGATGTCATTTCTCTCTTGTCCCTTCCTTTCCTCCTCACAGTATGTGCCCAAGTGTGTGTGTAAGTAAAGGAGGGAAGGAGAGCTGTGATGTCCTTTGGTGTGAACTACTCATTCCCCTTTTATTGTAGCCTGACTTTGCCTTTTCTCCTGTCAAAAAATTCTGTCTTTTTTCAGACTTCTGGGCAATAATTATTTTGTAAATGCAAACCTAAAATTCATGTTAATGCGTCCTTCTGTGGCATTCTCTTTTCTCCCTTTCCAACTCATCTTTGTTCTCATGGTTGTCTCTTAATGTGCTTCTACTTAAGGCACAAAATTTAGCGCTATTTATTCTCTCCCAACGTCCCTCTGCACCTTGTAGCTGTTTTCCTCTATTACTGTAGCCCTCAGTGTCCAAGACTGCTTCTCTGACCTGCAGGCCCAAAGACTACCTCATGCTCCTTTTCCCTGCTATTGGGCTCGTTATTCCTACTTAGGCTGTTGCAGGCTTCTGAACTGCTTCAGCGCAATTCCTTGCAACTCTTTCTTACTAGCCTCTGGGGCTCAGCCTTCGCCTCCACTCTCCCGGGCTGGAAAGGTTGTTGGCATGGGGTGTCTCTTGCCTATCCGTGCTTATGTAGCTCCATGGGCTCCATTACAGGGCCCTGCACTTTCAAGGGTTGCCTCCACTGAGTCTGTTTGTTGGAAGAGCCTGTCTCCATATACTGGTGTTCTCGCTATGAAATCACTGCATAATGGAGTGGCTAAAGTCCGCAAAGGAAAGCATTGTGCCCTGATGTAGCATTTGAAATGTTGCAATGGAAGGATAGAGCCGAGTCCCTCTCCCAGTGAATTCCATTGCCCCAAGCTATATCAAAGCAGTTCACTTCCTGCATATGGCTTGATTCAGAGACTCAATTAAGAGGAAACATTAAAGAGATAGGGAGAAGGAGGGAAAATGGGATCTGCGTGAGCCACTAATTATTCACTTTAAATAATTCAGTGGTTTTTACACTAATAGGTTGGAAAACAAATACCACTTCATATAAATGCAGTATTCCATTATTTATTCACTGTTGAAATTGGGTTTTAATTAAGACTAAAGCCTAAGACTTTAAACCATTAATGAAACATGTTGCTTTGTATAGCCAGTAAAGTACTGAGGGCTGGTATTCTTTAACATATAAGTGGATTACTCCATAGTACAAAATGCTGTTGTTTTACCAAGCAGTATTTTAATTTCCAGAAGAAGATAATGACAGCTTTATTAACTGTCATTTTTCTCTTTATTTAGAACTTTTGTTTATATTATTCGTTTTACTGATGAATGGTATGTTTGTAAGTGTGTGTAATATACTGGGAACAGGCAGGGATTGATGTCCTCTGTTCAATGATACATCAAGAACTGGTAGTGATCTATGATTAGCCTTTTGAACTTTCCCATAATGATTACGATGCTTGTGATTTAGTTTTGTCACCACGCATCCATCTGATGGTGTACAAATGTGGTCCATGTGGGAATGTGAATACAACACAGTAGAAGCATTCCTGGAGAGCGCTTTAACATGCGGATCAGTGGGAGGGGGAAAAGAAACAAAAACCAAAAGTCCATGTTTCCGAAGTATCTTAGAGTCCCAAAAAAGGAGCCTGATTCTCCGGAGTAGCAAGCAGTTTTAACACACCTTTTACGTGCGGTTTCCCCTACTTTATATTTGAAATGTCTGTAGAGTCCACACAGATAGGTGGTAAGTGAAAAACCCATAGCCTGCTCTTTGACTGCTTGTGGGATATAGAGTCTGGTTTGTCTGGGACACGTGAATGCATTTGGTTTTTAGAAGTCTGTATTTTAGCAAAATCCCAAGGATTCTGTCAGGTGAAATAGAGAGTACTCCTCTGAAACCATGCCAGTACCTTCAGGCCAGGATTAAGGCATGCATTTTTAACAGCAAGATTAATTAACTGTTGGAATAATTTACATATAGATGGGTTGGATTCTTTTTTTTTTTTTTAATGAGTACTAGATCTCTTTTTCCAGCCTATACAAATGTTATAGGTGTTGTACGGAAATTACTGGATATAGTCCTGTAATTTAGCTTGCATTAGGTTAGGAGGTCAGACTAGGCAGTAATAAATCCGTTCTGGCTTCATAGATGCTAAGCTGGGAAAAAAGCTATCATTTGCTCTTAGCAAGTTATTGTCTGGTTTAAGGTGCTATTAAATTAGTTTCACATGTGTATGTAGTACAGTGATTTATGCATGCCAATAAAAGTAGGAAAACCTTGATAAATTTCTGAAAGTAGCATATTTCTATGTGTTGTAATCTTAACACTCTTGATTTTTATCTTTGACAAAGACTGGAATCCCGCTATGAGTGGATATCTGATCAGAAGAAACTCTTAATCCCCTGCATAATGGAGGGGAAGAAAAAACCCTAATCTCTGTTAGTGCAGTATTCCCTTCATGTTTGTCTGATTTTTTTTTATATGTCTGTTTATTAATTTTCAGGAAGCCTGGAGAACAGAAACATTCAAAAGAGCCTTCATCTTTGCAATGCATGCATCTGGCAGTTGTGGCATGTGGGGACCGGCTGGAAGAGACTCTCATCATGCTGAAATCAGCAGTTCTCTTTAGCAACAGGAGGCTCTGTTTTCACATTTTTGCTGAGGATTCCCTTAAGCCTGAATTTGAGAAGAAGGTGAGTTTCTTTGTCATTTGGTGAATAAATTTAAAAAGGAGTTAATTATAACCTGCAGATCTCTACGCAAAATTACACTGACATTAATAAGTAGCAACTAAGCACTTTTATACTATAAGCATGTTTCTAAACTCCTTGTGCATGCGTACTTAAAAAAGGGGGGGGAGGGGAGGAGGAAAGCTATGTAATATCTAATTCCTTCCCCCATGTCTTTCAGTTACAGGAATGGCCTTCCTCATATACGAAGAAGTTTGAATACAACATTTACCCAATAACCTTCTCAGTAGGAAATGCTCAGGAATGGAAAAAGTTATTCAAACCATGTGCTGCCCAGCGCCTTTTTCTTCCGGTAAGGCACCTGGATTTCTGAGTAGGTTGCTTCAGGAAAAGGTTTATTCTACAGAAAGGAAGCTTTGCTGCTGTAATATTAAAACCACTTTCAAGCTGAAACTTCCATTCAAAGATACTTTAATCTGTCCTTTAGCCACTTAAAAACAAAACTGAAATCCAGTCTTGCTTTTTCTCCTGCTAGCAAAGAATGTGTGTTTTTTATTTGTCCTCAGTTCTGTCAGCCTCTCAGACTTTTAAGCTCAGTGCTAGAGCTCTTTCAAGGCAGATGCTGCATGCTTTCCATAAATAACATTCTTCTGAGCATGCAGTCATCCTATTCTCTTTACCCACTATCTGTCTTTCCATGTGTAAGCCCTTAGACTGATAGTTTCAGGAATCCCCTTTCCTTGTGTTTTTCTTCTTTCTCCTAGACTGTCAGATTTGCCCCGAAGATAGAAATTCCAAGGAGCTTAGCAACAGGTTTTCATGCAAGAGTCCCATGTGTGCTGGGATCCCCAGGTTCATTGAATATTTGTGTTCTTTGCTCTCTGATACTTATAGTGTCATAAACTGGGAAAATATTTAAGGTTGCTAGAGAGGAAGAAGGTGTTACTAACAATTTTGCTGATGCAGAATTCTCTGAATTTGAAAGAACTTCTGCTTAAACCAATTTCTGTGGAACTGGGAACATGCATCAAAAATATCCTGTGCATTGCTGTTGACTGAGGTGACTCCAATAAAGTGACATACTATTCACATGATCCAGATTTCTTCATTGCTCTCTTATGAGAAATGGAGGGACAGGGAAATCTTTACTTTCTCAGATGGAAACAATCAGGAGACAGCTGCACACCCAGATACATAGACTATGAATACATATGTGAGAAAATATGTGCTGTCAGCAGTTCTGTTTATCTGCCATTTAGAAGGAGCTTTTCAAATGCGCCAACGCCAGATGGGCTGAAAGTAACTTCGACTTTAACAGAGATCCTCTCTTCCCCGACTAAGTCTTCTTATCACCTGGAAAACTAACCCAAAGCGTTAGCTTGTTCAATACAGATTTATGTATGTAATGATTTTGTTGAAGAGGGTTATTCTCAATAGGTAAATGCAATTCTCCTATTTCTATAATACGTTTTGGTAGAGACCTCTCATCACAGAAACCGCCTCACTTTTATTGATCATCACCTTTCTGATGACAGAGAAGGGTTATATATTCATGGTAATGCCTTTAGGCTGGGCAGTGCTTTCCAATTCCTTTTTTATTGCTCACATGTTACCAAAGTTTGATGGAGCTCTCCAGTAACAACTTCTAAGGCATATTGGACAACATTCAACAGAATGTTGTCTTAGCAAAACTATGAGGCAGCTTGTGCTGTAACTCTTTCTCTTGGGGGAATTGCAAGTTGTGTGTGGTAGGGCTGAAAACAGGGAGCTCCCTCTTCAGTTTTTCTCAACGTTGTTAATACCAGGCAGAGGTTTAATAGCTTGAATAGAAGTGGTTGTCTGAGAATAGTTTGCAGCAGACACTAAGTTGATTTGGGTGGAGTGAGGAGAACAAGTTGTAGTAATAACTGGGGTGGCAAGTAACCCTTCAGTTGGGCTTTTGGTACTCAAGTTTGCAGCCTGGCAGATCCTTAGGCAGTTTCTGGGTATCTTCAGCTGCCATTATTTTTATTGGTGCTTGATAACTAGCTTCTGACGTTCCCTTTGAACGAGACGTTGCTGTAGAAATCCAAGCCTTTCTTCTCCTGTGCTGCATTGCACCCTTGAAGGAACCATGTCCGGAGCAAACCACAGCAGCTGAACTAGTGCAGAAGGCAATCCTTTCACTCAAGGAGCCAATTACATCTACGATCCAGATGTTCAGGCTCCTGGCTTGCTTCACTATGCCGATTAAGGAACCTGGGGGATCACCTCATCCCTCTGAAGAGGAAATAAAGGACTGTTTATAAAAGCTAATATGAACTCTTAAGATACCATGGCTAGATCAAACTTAATTGGTGTCTCTTTACATGGCAGACAGCTGGTAAAAGAGGATTCTTATTGGAAGGCCTCCAGTTTTAAAGACTTTCTCTCCTCACTTCACTTAAAACATAGTTATTCCCCTTTGGGGAGGTTTTAAGTCCTGGCTGTTCGTCCAGCCTTTACCAGGAAGGGCAGTTCTGCACGTAGCAGGAGTGGAGGGTTGTGTTAATAGGGGAGGGTCTCTAGATGTTGTTTAGATGTCTAGAGGTTGTTTAGATGGCTATTTGGAGTCATATTTTAAATAAATACCAACAGGATGTCAGTAAGTACCCCTTTTTTTGATATCCTTCCGTGTCCTAAGCATTTTTAACTGCAGTAGCATAAAATGTAACTGGATTTAGGGAAGATCCCAGGAGAGCAGCAGTGGAGTTTATCAGCTGTTTAGTCCTCAGTTGTGCAGATTGTCTTGTTCCTGATAATGGCAAGCCCGAGAGGAATGTGAGCCCCTGATTCACAACCGCCTCTCCTGCCAAGGAAGTCTCTCTTCTACAGCACCAGCAGGCATGTGAGAGTGGAGAGTAGAAGGAAAGTGTTAAAGGGAACTTGTGTAAGAAACTTTCAGTGGTTTTACTCGCTGATAAAACTGGAGGTCTGGGATGTGTTCTTGCACCTTGTAGTAATGAAGTGTTTTGTCCTGGATAGCATGCTGATGTCCACAGTCTGAATTTGTTGAATTTACTTGGGTCGCTAAGGAAGATCACAGTATCCTACATTTTGTAGAGGCATTCTGTGGCATCTGATCATATATTTGCTACATAGACTTAAGGAAAATACATTGAACCTCAGTGTAATCTCGTAACAAGTCCATAGTGAATCTTTTGCTGCAGTCTATTTCTGTGAAACCATACTGCAGGATCTACAAAGGAAGAGTAAGGAAGATGTGGATGTTAACATTAATACAAAGTGAAACCTTAAATATTAACTGAAGTTAAATGTACATTTTATTTTAGCACCTTGAGGACAGACTGATGGCAGCATAACAGTTCTGTGTATTGCTATGAAGAGAGTACTGTTTTTAGGAGGATAATGCTCTTAGCAAACATTACCTGACTTATTTGTGTAAACAGAGAAGATACGATGGTGAAATTTTCCCTATCGAATAGCACTTTTCTCCATGTGTCGTCCAGTTCAGGGCATCTGGGCATGGTGGCGATGGGCAGCTGTAATGCAACCTGAGACACAATGTGCGATGTTAAGACGACTGGCAATATCTAGCCTCTTTTAACTTTCAGGCAACTCTCTGAGACAACTAAATGTTGTCCGTGATTCACAGCTATAGGAACTGAACAGTTCCTTTAAATTCTCTGTCCCAGAACCATGCAAGAAACATCAGTCGTCTTATCCATCACCTTTTTATGGCAAGCTGGTTATATTCTCTTCTCCTTCTTTCTTACTCAAAAAAACCCAGAAAAAAATAAATAAAAACTCCAAACCCCAAACAAAAAGAACAAAAGACCAAGGCTGCATCAGCAGCTTGAGATACTACCTGCCAGGTTGCTACCTGCAGTTTTACTTATGGTTTCTTGTGCGGTGTTGCCAGTGTGTTGGGAAAGAATGAACCCTCATGAGGCCAACTTTTTTCTGTGTTATGAATAGTTGCGGTGGGAAGGTTTAGTCTGACAGGACCATAAGGATCACTAAGGATAATCCCAAATATCTATTATTTCTAATGAGAGAGCAACTGCGATATGGAAACTGTTTTGTAGCACTAGCTGTCTGTTAAGACATCAGAATGAAAAACTGCGTGGTCTAGTCTCATGAATGTTATATTCTGTAGACATAGCTTGCAGCAATCTATGTTGCTGTTTTGGAGTTACCAAAACAAGCAGCTGAAGTATCATAAAATGCTTAAGGGATTTTTGGATGATTTTAGTTCTAATAGTAACTAACATTTAGAACCCTTCTCAAAACACCTCATCCATTTAAGAGCTTTTAAGGTTGCTTAGCATGATCCCTATATTATAGGTGTCCTCTTGAGTACACTGAAGTAACCTGTCTAGTGGATCAGTGGCAGCACTGGGAATAGATGCCAGGGCTTTATCTAGACAAAATGCTCTGGCTTTGTTGTAACTTAATTGCTAATTACAATTTGGTTAATTACCTCAACTTAGTGGAACTGCTACATTAGCATACTGTGATTTGTCCCTAGCTTCTGGATAAAGAACTGATAAACTGACATGCTAGCCAGTGTGTACTATTGGGTAGCACAGCTTCCCAATACGCCAATATGTGCTTTCACGGTCGTATGTTACTCCTTGCTAGCCTTGCTAACACAGGGAAAATCTAGAGAGACAGAAATTGTGAAAACAAATTACAAGTAATGGAGTATGTAAGTGAAGTGTCAGGCTAAATATAGCAAGTTCCAAGTAGAACTTTTTGACAGGGTTATTCAGAAAAGTCTATATAGCTGCAAAAAAAAAAAAAATTACAGTTCTTTTAAGCTGTAAGTACCTGTAGAGTGAAGAAGACGACAAGAGCAGTCGCCTAATATTCCTGAACATTCGTTTCAAAAATCACAGTGTCAGGTATGTCTACATGCTTTGTGCTAGCAAGCATGAACTCAGAGTGCCAGATGCACCCTTGCGTTGCTCATGCCCCAGGTCAATCAGATGCATGTCACTTGTAACATGCAGTCGTGTCCCTCTGGTTCACCCTCCTGGCAGACTCCTGCCAGCCCTAGCTGTGCAGCATTTGGGCAGATTTGCCCATCTGCAGGCTCCATCTGCCTCAGGGTACTAAACTGTTCCCCAGTATAACCCCTTTGACAACTAGGGAGCGACACAAGGAACTCTTGTAGCCATGATTATTGAAATCAAATTCTTCTGCCCATGGCCAAGTCAAACACACAGCCAGAAGGGGATGTGATCAATTCATACTGACATGCATAGGTTTAAAAAAGTCGTAAAATTCCTTATGTGAAAGAGAAAAGAGGGAAGGACTTAAAAGAGGAAGCACAGCTTTTCTTTTAGCCTTTGGATGGTAGCTGCAGGGCAACACCTCAGGCACAGGGAAGAATCTTTTGACAAACTAGGAATGGAGAGCATGTTTATTGTAAGCAGAGGAATACACAGCTGAAAACATGGAGTCAAATACCAATAGACAGCCAGTTCACAAAAAACTGAACTACTTCCTTAAATCCATTTGAATAGAGCAAAATGATTAGAGTACATTGACTTCCACAGATTTAAACGTACGTGTGTAAGACCATTGAAAGAATAATTTTCTGCTAAAAGAATCAGTGTCCACACTGCCACTTATGTTTGAGAGGAGCTCCCATAAGCACCCATTAAACTTTACCCTCTGCTAGAAAATACCTAAACATGCCTCTACGAGGGCACCCCCAAAAATGTATTTGGGCTACAGTGTGCTGTAGATCCCACAGACAAGAAAGTCTAATTGCTTCTTATGATGCTCTTTTTGTATTCATCTATTGTCTTCTGTCTTAGACTAAATCCTTTTGAGTTTGGGGGGGGGGAGGGGAGGTTGGTGGGGGTGGTGGTAGTGGGTTTTTGGTATTTTGATTGTATATTACTTCACATAGTAGGTCCCTGTGAATTAGGGCTTGTAGTTGTTACAGAAAAAAATGCAATGTCCTGGATACCCTGAAGCTGAAAAACTACTGCTTCTTTTCAACTGCCTTTCTTCTATTGATCCACTCTTAAAGTAGCTTTTTTTTAACTAGTTTTTTTTAATATTAGACCCCAATAAATTCAATATTCACTTCAAACTCTGGACTCTCTGCTCTTGAGTGTTTTATCAGACTATTAACGTCACTCTTTGTTGATACCTTTATATGCTGGTTTTGTTGTTTAGCTATAAGGCCAGCAGAAAACAGTGGGAAAAAGAGTTGTTCATAGCCTATTGCTGTAACCTTCCACCCAGCAGCAGTCTGTATTGTGATGGACTTGCTTACATGGAGTTTCTTGTAAGCATAACTTTTAACGTTTAAAATGTAGAGACAGTTGCTTTGTCCTGCTATGTAGGAAGAACATACAGAAATACAGGTCAGGGCTTTCTTAAACTTGGCTAAATGTCAGTCTGAATCCCCAAGTGTTCAGTCAGGTGAAAATTTCATTTAAATCAGTACTTGAGGATTTGGAGTCTTAATGTTATTGAGGCCTGTTGAGCATGCTTAAAAGTAATTTTTTTTCACTTTTCAAAATGTTAATGTTGTTCACTCTCTTTCACAAGTAATCTTTAGCCAGTTACATTTCAGTTCATGTAAAAGTAAATTTTTAACAGAGCTTATTAAGTTACCCACATAAATAGGAAAGTTTGGCAATAGTATCATTGCAACTGGACGAATGAGCGATTGTTTTTTTTCCCTGGCCTGATACAAATCATTAGCAGTTTGGATTTGCCTTTCAAGTAAAGAAAGAAGGCGGAATAGAGCTTTTAACTTAGACTGAAGTAAGAAAATTTCAGTCCTTCAGGAACTGAAATTTCAAAATTTAATTGAAACTTGTTAGTCAGCCTTAGATAATAGTATTTACTCCCTAACAAGCAACCTAACATATAGGTGGTGCAAACATCAAGGGAGTTTTCACATCCTGTTGAACCACTGTATAATTTGCCCTGCTAAAATTAATGAATGAACATGTAAGGGCTTGGATAGCCACAAGGGGGAACATTGTCAGCAAGAACAGATTAAATATCCTGGATCTAATTATTTTACAGTTCACACCATTTTTACTCCCTTGTGACTTGACTAACTTTACTGTGGTTTTTCCTGATACAGACTCTGATAACAGAGATGAGAATCTGACATGAAAAGTTTTATGACATTTCTATTTAGCAAGCAAACTTTGTTCTTTAGGAGAACGTACATAAATTTTTGTGATCAATAGTAAGTTGTTTTGTTTTTTTAATTAAGGTAGAGCATTTCTATATGTTAAATTAGGTTGCATGACTGATTGTGAAAGCATCTTAAACATACGCACACGCACGCATGCACACATACGCAGAGCAGCAGTTTCATAATATATAGCATATTATTTTCAATACTAATCCTTTCAGAATCCATACCATACTGTGTGCAAAAAATACATCTCTATATTCTATGGTTAATTTTTCTGTACAACCATACCACTTACAGATCTTTAAAAAGAACCAGCAAGGCTATGCAAATATATATTCCTTGCATTTTATTTCTGAATTTATTGAAGTAGGCCTTGAAGGCTACATCAACGGGTTGTTTTGAGAGCTAAGTGGATTACTGTTTCGTATGAAGATTAGAATCTGACTTCTGTGCTCTGGTAGCTGTTTTGCCTAGCAGGTTTAAAAAAAAATTACTTGGTAACTGTTGTTCTGGTATGTAATGAGATTCAGCTGGTAAGACAATAACTTTTTTTAAATTCTTAGTTTAAAATAAAGTACCTTTTGCTAATAATCTTCCTTTTTGTTGTCTGCTTGGTTTCTTTTTCATCTCTCTTCCTCTCCTCACTGTGCAAACCCACAAGGTTATTTTAAAGGATGTGGATTCTCTTCTTTACGTGGACACCGATGTTCTCTTCCTGAGGCCCATCGATGACATCTGGCACATCCTGACAGAGTTTAACTCCACACAGCTAGCCGCTATGGCCCCAGAACATGAAATACCAAAGATTGGCTGGTATAGTCGATTTGCGCGTCACCCTTATTATGGGACAACTGGAGTCAATTCTGGAGTCATGCTAATGAATTTAACCCGGATACGCAACACTCAGTTCAAGGTGAGAAGAAATAAAACTGTTGCAGAAACTAGTGGTTTATGTATTTTTAATATTATGTAAAATATATCTTAGTATAAAAATAGTAAAATTTAGAATTTAAATAATTGGAAAAATATAGAATGCACATCTGGGTACTAAAACCAGTTGTACTGAAAATGACTCTTAAGACAAATAAAACGTCCCCGCTACATTGGGGGAGCACTGAGAACTTGAAGGTGAAATGATCCTTTTTGCAGTAGTATAACTGGCTTCCTTGACATTTCACTCTCCCTTCAAAGGTACGTGAAAGAATAAACTCAAGGATCTTCAGTGCAGTCAGTGTATTTTTTAAATTGTGAAGGCTGAGGCAAATATCCAGAGTAATTGGTAATTTTTTTGCATTTGCTGTAAATAACATTTTGGATCCTGTTGTAGATCAAGTGATTCTGTTAATTGATATAAATGAGAGGGGAGCCCTTTCACTCTTTATGGTGATATCTCCCCCTTTTTGTGAAAGGCCTGACTTGTTAAATCTCTATTTGTGTTGGTGAGCATTTATTCTCTTTAGAAACTTTGTTTACCTCTGAGTGGGCTTTTGTCCTTAATCAAGGCCAGGGATTAGCTGTACTATTACAGGAACAGCTTGAGTAAAACAACTTGCTCTCAATGTCGTAATTTCCCTGGAAGGGAAAGGGAAGATAAATTTTTAGCCTGAATTTTTCCTCCCTTTAACACCTCAGTTTTGACCTTGCCCCTCCTCTACCAAGCGCTTGAAAAGAACAGATCTAAAACTCTTCCTACTCTATGCATTTTTCACTTTTTTTCCCCCCTGTTGCTCAGAATAGGAAGACTCTGAATAGCAGGAGCTGACATCAGAGCTAGACCCAGGAGACCTTGCTTTCCTGTTTAGTCAGATCAGGAGATTTCTTTTTCTCCAACCCTTTCCACATCTAACGCTTCCTAGCAGTTCTTCATTTTTCATTTAGATATCTGACATGGCTTAGGAGACTGATAAATATGTGGGTGCTGCTTTCTCAAAGTCACATGTGTCATCACTGTTCACAGTATTAACCCACTGCTTCTGTTTTTCTGCCCTGCAGAACAGTATGATACCATCTGGTTTGACTTGGGAGGAAATGTTGTATCCATTATACCAAAAGTACAAAAATTACATTACATGGGGAGACCAGGATTTACTAAATATTATTTTTTACTTTAACCCAGGTAAGTAATGATTCTTAGTCATGGTTATCTGTAGTAAGAAAATTTCTTGAACTTTCAAAATTCAAAGAAAGTGCTGTTCATTATTTTTAATATGCATAATATATGTACATAGTGTGCATAATATGTAAGTCCACCTAGGATTTACACCCCTGTGAAAATAATTCTGAAGGTTGTGCGGGTAGTGGGCCTCAGACTTGGTTGGTTCCTTTGAAGATATGAATCTGCTTTCTGGTAATTCTGAGAAAATAAGGAAACAAGTACATCTACAACTTGAACTTCATTCCTGAATTTGATCATTTATTTAATGTTATGTTTCCATTCCATATGTGCTCCACTGGACCCAGGGCCTAGCTGAACAAAATGTTTGTTTCAGGTGTTTATTTGAATGTGAAATTGCCAATCTTTCTCCAAAGCTATCCTTTATTTTTTTGAAATGCAGTTAAATTCTGATACTTATGTAAACAAGTAACAATGCTAATATAAATACAAAACTGACTCAGCTGTTCAATTATCTTCTTTAAAACTGTTGCCCTTCCTAGCTTCGCTCCTCTGCTAAAAGTTACTTTTCAGAGAAAGAAGCTTGCCACCTCTGAGCTGAATGACCCATCCTCACTAAACCCCAGAATGATGAGGTCATCTGTACTTCCGCTTCTTAGCTGTGTGTGTATTTTATGTTCTTCCTTTATTCCGCTTGCTCTGGGACTATAAAGAACTATGGAGGACTTTAAATCTCTCAAAGCTGCGTTCTCAGAGAACAGATGGGATACCCCACCTGTCCAAGAGACTGCAAATGCAGAGCAGAGGGACTGTGTAACCAACAACTATGTACTTGTAAGCCCAGCAGAATGAAGTCGTATCTCATTCGTGTCTGTCATTCTTGCCCAGTGCCTCCGTAAACAACTCGTAGCTTTTGCAGCTTGTCTTTAATTTCCCCCTGAATTGGAGTCTTACTCGCAAGAATGCGTATTTCTAAGAAACTGGCAAGTTTTAGGGTGTGATTTTTTTTTACAAGTGGTAAAACACAGTTTCTGGAAATTGAGCCTCTTCTAAGTATTTTGCATTGATCACTCAGAAATGACTTCAGGCTCTTCCAAAACATTTGGAAAAACAGGAATCTCAGAATTGCGGCATAGTGTGTATTTCCCAAAGAAACTAAGAACCTTGTTTCATATGTCTGAATACATTGAGTATCAATTCTTATTTGCTTTTGCGTGTTTCCTGTGTGACCTTGTATTTCCTCAAGTAGTCTTGAGAACAGAATAACTTTGGATTCATCTTTATTTATTCTGTTCCCTTTTCTTTTCCTCTAAGGAGTCATAGGGTAGGTGACCGAATGTACCCAAATTTGAGCAAAAAAAGGGAGAGAGCAAAAGCAAAGCAATAAAGTAACATCTGAATACTGCGTACAGATGTCAAGCATCAGTGTCCCTGGCACACCATGCAGTAGCCTCAATTCTAGGCAAAAAAAGTGGAAGAAATCTTAATTATGAAATCATACATTTCTTTGTGGAAATTAATTAATGTCATGTGAATGGGATCTACCGGAGGAAGAAAAAGATGAAGCCAGATTAGTTGTCAGGTCAAACTCAAGCTGTTCAGTAAGAGTGCAAAAGAAAAGACTGGAAAAACATTTCAACTTTGTAATAAGAAGATTCTCTATCAAATCCACATGTTGAGATTCTTTTCTGTACCATAGTCAGTCTTTTCCTCATAACTAGTAAATAATTTTTTATGAATTACGTAACATCAGACTGCACAAAAAAGAAAACAAAAGAAGTTGAGACTATTAAAACAGAAAACTAGACTTTCCTGAGGTTTTTAAATGCTACATTGTTAAAACTGGCCTGGGAAGGAATCAGAAATGAAAACTTGGTCATTTAGTTAAATCCACTGCAGATGGCTTTTTGTAGATACAGTGTATTGGCTAAAAGTACGCTGAACCTGGGGCCTGAAAAGATGAACCGTTTTTCCCATATCCTGAGGCAGTTCTGACGATTAAAGATTTGAAGGCTTGCAGAGCATCTAGAATCCGAGTCCAGCTGTGACAGCAATGAATGTCTCAGAGCATCTGGTGAGGAGATGCTGATGAATACTCAAGTGACATGTACAGAAGCTGACAAGCACCTGGTGACATCCTTTCACCAAAATGACCTGTTGAGGATTTGTACTTGCAAACATCTGCTGGGGCTCAGTGGAAAGATTCATGTTAACTGTAAGAGGGTTGGGATCGAGGCGCTACAGCTCTTCTTGTCCTTTCAGCAACTCTGGGCAGCAATTCTGAATGTGTGATAGGTCAAACTGAATAGAAACCACTTTAAAACTACCCTTCCTTGAGCAATCTCCTGACAGAAGTGTCTTATGGGAAGAAATGTCTCATAAACATTTTCTCTTACTTCCTCAAGAACCACACAGGGCCAGCCACAGCCTTCCTGGGCACGATGAGTGGAAGATAAAGAAAGGCCAAGTGATGAATTCAGTCTTCAATGGTTTTGACAGGACCTGTCAGCACAGTGCAATGATTCATTGTACTCCATTTCCATAGCAAAAAAGGTCGCAGGGGCTGGCATGATTTATTGTAAGCATGTTGCAAATACTGCGGTTGCATGGAGAAAGCTTTAAAAACAAAGAAAAAAAATCAGTTGGGCAAATGAGGTTACAAGCCCTTTTGAGAAATTAGACAGATCTTTAATATAACCTGGACTTACAAAATTAATGGATAACGAGTCTTAGAAAGGCTGCAGATAAAATACACTACTGTATCTCCGCATAGCAGATTGTCATAACCTCAATGAAGGCTTCCGCAGCAGACACTGGATATACTTTGCAAGCTTTGCCATGCTGCCTCCAAAAGGATTCAGGATTTCGCATAACCCCCACTGCTGTGTGTGCTCCCCTAACCATTTCTGTAACTTCAAAAACTTCTACCAGAGAACACCATATAGTACCACACAGTGCACAGGCTCCGAGTTTGATTCTGTCACTTTTAACTTTGTAAAATGCACTCTTGGTTTGTATTTCCAGCCAACCTTTCTGTTACCCTGTTTTTCTGTTAGTTCTAGCGTAACAGTGTTGAGACGTGTATAGTCATCCCTGAAAAAATGAAGCTTCCGTATCTAGCTGCTGCTTTGGATCTTTGTGAAGGAAGTAACTTAAATGTTTCCGATTGTCAGTCCCAGTTTTTCACAGAAACATGGTTTAACTTGTTATAAGTCTTGCTCAACATGTCTTTTTTTTTTTTTTTTCCTCCCCCCCATCTCTCCTGACTGATACTGCCAGAGTGTCTCTATGTGTTTCCCTGTCAATGGAACTACCGGCCTGATCACTGTATGTATGGGAGTAACTGTAAAGGTGCAGAAGAAGAAGGTGTCTCTATTCTGCATGGAAACAGAGGTGTCTACCACGATGACAAACAGCCTACATTCAAGGCGCTCTATGAAGTGATACGTGATGTAAGTCTTCTATTTTTATAGAGACAGCCTATTTCAATATAGATTACAGCTTTAACCAGATCACTCAGACTGCTATTCCAGCAGATCAGACTGAGGATAGTCATGCTTTATGTACCTCTGTCAGTAACAAATTAACAAGGTTGCTTTGGCCTGCTCTATTTTACTGTGTGGGTGTATTTGAGAGAGAGGGTTTAAACAGACCTCCTTATTACAGTAAAATTCTAACCCAAGAGGCTGATAAACTGCTTTTCTATAGTACTGTGGGTGGAAGGAAGTGTTTGGTTGGAGATCTTCCTGCTGGCACTGCAGCTCTGATCAATAAGTGCCCAAGGAAACCTTGGACTCCCTGAGCACCTAGAGCCCCTGGGCACTTGGAAGGCAGAAGAGGTTGTTCAGTAGCTTGCTTACCGGCACAGATCCATGCTTCCCCTTGGATTAGGAAGAGTTAAGTTGTGGACTGTGTTTTGTAGAGCATGGTATGTGCTTCAGGGTTACTTCACTTTCTTATTTGAAAGGTTAGCTTATATTTTCTTCCTGGTCCATAAACAAAATAACAGACTGGCTGTCACCAGCTGATGTAGCTGTACATAATCTGCATGTGTATGGACACATGCATTTGTGCTGAAGTTTCCTGATTCTCTTTCATGTGCTGATTTATGCTGAAGAGCATTGCAATAGCTATCCATTGCTGGCCACAAAAAGGAGAGGTGTTTTTATATGTTGCTCTGTTGGAGAGTATTGAGTTGACTTAGGCTACGTTTACATCAGTAAGTAGTGCAGCACAACAGGAGCAGATTTGTGGAGCAAACCAGTTGTTGCTGTTCACAGCAACATCCACAGCCTCGGTGTTCAGGAATTTTACTTCAAGCTAGTTTTGGACTGGTCCTGTGGACTTGGAAGCCTGTTAGCAGATGGAATGTGTTAAGTGTGCTCCTACGGGATATTTTAGTCTTATCCAAAAGGAACTCCATTCCTGC